TATGTATGTGTATGTGTGTGTGCGCGCGCGTCGTTCGAGTATTCCAACTTGGCAGCCAAAAAAGCTCCGACGCCGAAATTTCGCCAGTGGCTTCCCCAGCCAAGTGCCACCCCAGGACCGCAAGAGCTCTCTCACGTATGTCTGAGCCTCGCAAGCGCATAAAAGTTTTGGTGGGAAAATTGCTAACTCAGGAACCAGAAAAGCCAGAAGGCTGAAATCTGAGGTTATGTCCTTCGTCCACAAAAAGGTCAAAGATTTCAAATTCAACCCCTAGGCGAGCGTGGCTACCACGTACGGCCTCGTAAAAGTTTTGTAAACTCGCTAACTCAAAGACCAGCTAGATAACTGAGATCTTGAGGGGATGTATCCCGACCAAGTACCACGCAGGTGTACAATTAACTTCACGAACCTTGATTGTTGGGAGGTCACCCGTATGTGTTTGCGTTTGGAAGCAAGTGAATTTTGTCACGCACTTTCAACTCAGCAACCAGGGACGCTGGGAGTTTGAGACCTTTTGTCATCCTTCTGTTTTAAAATCTTTGGTCATATGCGCTAAGATCTCGCGTACGGATCCCCGATAAAAAATATGCAAATTTCTTTGACGGAAAACGATTCTATGAACAAAACAAAATAGAAAGCTGAAACTTTGCAAAGATATTCCTTTCAGCATGTATAAACTAAAGATTTCAAACTCAGCTGTTGCACAAATGCTTATATCGCGCGTACAGTCACAACAAAGTTTGCAGTTGACACTGTGCTAACTCGAAAACTGGTCGGAAAAAAGTAGCTGAAACATTGTCAAAATATTTGATGTTTCGTGTGGAAGATAGTATGTCCAAATTTAGTTTCGATTTGGACTTGCGCCACGACTTAGGACGCTTCAAAGAAATTTGCAGCGTTATTTTGCTTACCAGAAAAGCTGTGAAGCCGAAACTTTGCAAAGGTATTCTATATTCACGCATAGTTTTAATTCGGACTGGAGATAAAATTCCCTGCACGCAAACATGACAAATGCTCAATTTTATCACAAAGTCAGAAGCGAGTGCATTTTGCAGATTTCATAATCCTCTCCCGACTTCCAATTTGCTTTTTCTCAGTGGACGAGCTTTCACTAGAAAAATGACAGGGCTTCATGCATAAAGGTGGCAAACACGCAAGCTGGAAGTGCATGAGGCCCATAATGCAACACCTTCATCCCACCGACGTCCTTTCCTTCTGCTTGCGAAGAAAGGCCAAAACACGGCCAATATAAGTCTAAGTGTTA